AACTTTATTTGTATGAGTGTATTGCCTGCATGTATGTGAGTACACCTATGTGTGCAATGCTAGTAGGGGCCAGAAGAGAGAGTCAGATCCTCTGGAACTAGAGTTATAGACTGTTGTTAGCTGCCCTCTGGGTGCTGGGAACTAAAACCAAGTCCTCCACAAAAAACAGCCAGTGCTCTTAGCTACTGAGCCATCTCTCCAGCTGTTAGAAGCTATATTTTTATTGTTAAATTAATTAAAATTTTTTTTTGATTTATTTTTATTTTATGTCTGTAATTTCCCTGGAACCAGAGTTCTAGACGGTTGTTAGCCACCATGTGGGTGCTGGGAACTGAACCCTGATCTTCTGCCAGAGCAGCCAGTGTTCTTAACTATTGAACTATCTCCCTATCCCCTATTGTGAAATTACTTTGTGATTCAAAAGTAGATTATGGGTTGGTGTTTACTTTGAACTCTGATTGTCCTTTTGCAACCCAGATAAACTGCAGGTGCTGCAAGTCCTCGATCGCCTGAGAATGAAGTTGCAGGAGAAAGGCGACTGCTCACAGAATGAGAGGCTGTCTGTATTTTATGAGATGTTGAGGAGTCCTCTCTTCAACCAGATTCTCACACTCCAGCAGTCCATCAAGCAACTGAAGGGGCAAGTAAGTCCACTCTGGCTTTACCTCGATGGAGTCAAAGCAGCAAGGAAGGATAGAAGGAGCAGATTGTGTGCAAGCACCCCGAGTTTAGCAAAGGCCACATTAGGACCTGCAGCCTGTGGGTGGTGGCACTGATCCATGGTTATAAATGTTGATGAAAAAGCTTATGTTAGGCTTTGGAATGTAAAACATATGTAAAGGTCAGTGCTTTGAGAATTCTCAATGTTTGTCTTTAAAATTATAAAATAGTGCTTAACTTACTTATTTTGCTGTGTTGTAGATGGGTCCAGGGCCTTGTGTATGCCCCTGTGTTTCACTCTCAGCTCTTGACATTTATTCTCTCTCTTTACTTATATATTAATTAAAAAATTTTTTTAATGATATTTGTGTGTGTGTGTGTGTGTGTGTGTGTGTGTGTGTGTGTGTGTATGTGTGTGTGTATGTATGGGCATGTGTGGAGGTCAGAGAATGACTTTCTGGAGTTGGCTCTTTCTTTCTATCCTGAGGGTCCAAGGAATTGAACTCAGGTCATCAGGCTTGGCAGCAAGCACCTTTACCTGATGAGCCATCTCCTTCCCCTTAAATTGACTAATTTACTTTTGTGTGCATATGATTTCTGTGGACAGGTTTGCATGGAGGGCGTTCACCTACCACAGTATGCATGTGGAGATGAGGACAAGGTGTTGGTCCTCGACTTCCACTTTTACATGGCCCCAGGGATCTCAAGCACTTTTACCTGCTGAGCCATCTGCCCTACCCTCCTCTTCCTCTTCCTCTGACTTGGAACTTGCTATGTAGATCAAGCTGGCCTTGAACTCACAAAGATCCTCCTGCCTCTGTCTCCCAAGTGCTGGGATTACAAGCATGCACCAGCACACCTGGCCTTCTTAATGTTACTTTTATTCTAGTGTGTTGTATTAGCTAGTGTTGTTTTAGAAAATCTGCTTCTTTTAAAAAAATTTTATTTACTATTTTTATTTTATGTGTATGTGTATATTGCCTGCATGTAGGTAAGTGCACCCATGTCATGCCTTGCCCGTGGAGGACAGAAGAGACTTTCGGATCCCCTGGAACTGGAGTTACAGACAGTTGTTAACTGCCATGTGGGTGCTGGGATTCGAACCTGGGTCTTCTGCGAGAACAGCCAGTGTTCTTAACTGCTTAGCCACCTCTCCAGCTCCGAAAACCTACTTGTTGTAATGTTAGCATGCGCTTCTGGCAGAAATTTAAGTGGCACTGTGCCTCACTTGCTATTGGTACTGTTTAGGGTGCAGGTAGCCTCAGTTTTTATGTTTACCAAGTAGGACAATGAAAGACATCTCAGAGCTATTATAAGGATTCAATAAGATAATACATGCAAATATCTTGGTCCAGTACTTGGCTCTTAGCAGACATCCACCAAGTATTGTTGCTGTCTTTACTGATATAAACCTACTGTGGGTATTTGTGATTCCCCCATGAAGCTGTGCAGATAAATACAAAAGAACTTAGTGGCTTACACACTTAACTGTTTCTGTTACATGATGCTAAATGTGATGTTAGAGTATGCCCTATGAACTTGAGAAAGTCACAGAATACAGAAAACAACAAATTTTAACTAATAAACATTTCATGTTATATTAATTCTAACCTTATAAATATACAGATTCATTGATAGGTGTCTTCTTTTTTTTTTTTTTTTGAGACAGGGTTTCTATGTAGCCTCTGGCTGGCCTGAGACTAGCTATAGAGATCTGCCTGTCTCTGCTTCCTGAGCACTGGCATCACAGGCATGCCTCACCACATCTAGCCCCTTATTTCTTTAATATTTATATATTTAACATGTAATGTATACATACAATGGGCAAAACATATGCAATAAATAGAAATTACTTCTTTTCTATAAGTTTCTGTTAATGGTTTTCTTGTTTTTCTTTTCAACAGCTTAGCCATATCCCCTCGGATTGTCCAGCCAACTTTGAATTTTCTAGGAAAGGTTTGTTAGTGTTCACGGATGGTTCCATTACAAACGGGAATGCCCACAGGTCTTGTAATAATTTGACTGCATCTGGGTTGTTTCCTTGGACCACAAAGTCAGGAAATGAAGACTTTAACTCAATCATTCAGCAGATGGCTCAGGTAAAGTTATATCTTGTCATGGAATATTTAGCTGTATTTCTTTTGTTTCAGTTTAAAAAAAGACCCACACTGTTTTTTTTTTTCCTTAAAAATGTGTTACTATATTATTTGCTTGTATTTCAGTATTGTTAGGGGCACCTCTTTCCAACTTGTGTGTTGGAACTTACTTTAGGGTTACCTGAGAGCAGAGTGGGGTGGGTGGCACAAGCCTGTAATCCTGCAGCCCTGTGGCCGAGGAGGCGGATCTCCAATTTAAGGCCAGCTCAGGTTGCATAGTGACACCCTGCCTGAAAAGAGAAGACAAATGAGAGCAAAACAAAACAAACAGCATAAGAAAGAGTCTGTAGGTGTTAAGAAGACTTTTGTGACAAAGACTCTAATTGGACATGTCTGTTTTAATTTTGTATCAAAACAGAATTGGCAAATTGGAAGTAATATAATTTAGAAAATCTAGGAAAACATTGGAAAGGATAATTTACCTGTAGCCCTAATACATATTAAAAATTAAATAGATGACTCAGCAATTAAGAGCACTGGCTACTCTTGCAGAAGACCTGGGTTTGAATCCCAACACCCACATGGATGGTGACTAACAACCATCCATAACTCCAGTTACAGGGAATCTGATGCCCTCTTCTGGCCTCCAGGCATTGCATGATGTGGGTGCACTTACATACAGGCAGGCAAAACACTCATAAAATACAAATAAATAAAAATTTTTAAAAAGAATTAAATGATAGGCAGTTGAATTTTTGGATATGTTAGTTTTGTGTTTGTTTTCCCCACTATCTAACAAATGCCTTTAAAAATGAAATTTGATAGCCAGGCGTGCTAGTGCACACCTGTAGTCCCAGCACTTGGGAGGCAGAGGCAGGTGGATCTCTGTGAGTTCAAGGCCAGCCTGGTCTACATAGTGAATTCCAGGACAGCTAGGCCTTACAGGGAGACCCTGCTTCAAAAAGACCTAAAAACAACAACAACAACAACAAAAAAACCACAAAAGAAATTTGAACCATATGTGATGGTGCACACCCTTAATCCCAGCACTCAGGAGGCAGAGCCATGCAGATCTCAGATTGAGGTCAGCATGGCCTACATGGTAAATTCCAGGTCAATTGGAGCTACAGAGAGACCCTGTCTCAGAAAAAAGAAGAAGGAGAAGAAGAAGAAGAAGAAGAAGAAGAAGAAGAAGAAGAAGAAGAAGAAGAAGAAGAAGAAGAAGAAGAAGAAGAAGGAGAAGAAGAAGAAGAAGAAGAAGAAGAAGAAGAAGAAGAAGAAGAAGAAGAAGAAGAAGAAGAAGAAGAAGAAGAAGAAGAAGAAGAAGAAGATTCAGTTGGTTCTCAGTACCTATGTTGGTGGCACACAACTGCCTGTAACTTCAGCTCCAGGGAATTTGGTGCCCTCTTCTGACCTCTGTGGGCATCCACAGTAACATACACATACCCACAGCCAGACACAAACACATATATATAATTGAAAATAAAATAAATATTTTTAATAAGTAAAATTTGGGCTTGAAAATGAAAACGAATTCGAGTAACTCTTGACTATAGCTCCATCCTCTTCATGTGATGCAGTTGCTAGTTGATTATGTCTGTGAAGTTCTCATATTATAAAAGCAGTTAAGTAAAACCATGAAATACCTCACTGTCACAGAATAACCCTCTGTGACCTTGTAAAATGACCAAATGAATGGAATATTAATTCATCTCTGTAGAATTAAAAACTGAATGATAAAAATGTAGCTGTTTCTGCCTAGACCATATACAAGCATGGCTTTGGCACATCTGATTTACTTTCCTCACTTAATGTGTTTTGCATCTAGAGAATTTAGGGAACGTCACACACAAAGCAATTTAGAATATATTGTGAGAAAGGGCATTTTTTTTTACAGTTTCATCCAGGCTGGGATTATTCTTATGATGTGAATGAAATGTAAAATACCTCTAGATTCTCTGAGGTTAGGCACACTGTACTCTTTATGTTCTACTGAAAAAAAACTAAGTTGAAAGGGTTCCAAAAACAGTATATTACTGAAGTGCGGAATATGTTTAGGTTTATAAAGATGACTTAGGAAAAGCTGTTTTTGTGCTGAGCAGTTTCAACTCTGTGGAGAGGTATGCCATTGAAATGCACATTAGTGATTTTTTTTTTTTTTTGTCTTTTCAAATCCTACCCTCCCTTCATTAGGGCCGGCAAATTGAATACATAGACATAGAACGCCCTTCAACTGGAGGCCTTGGTTTCAGTGTTGTGGCTCTGAGAAGTCAGAACCTGGGAGAAATTGATATCTTTGTGAAGGAAGTCCATCCAGGAAGTGTAGCAGACAGGTAAGGATGAAGTTCATTCTGCACTTGGCTGTGGTTTTCCTGACAATTCTGAAAATTTGACTGTAGAGAGAGTAAGAAACTAGTAATAAAGACAGTAGTAATAACTTGTACTAACTTAGCTTGTCCTGCATGTTTGTCCAACCACCTGTGCCAGCAGTCCATCTGCATAGGTGTATATTGTCACTTCATATTAGGTGAGAGAGCTGAGGTTCAGAGCGGTCCAGTGCTTTGCCTATGATCATGGAGATGTTCATGCCAGCTGTTGATGTTGACTGTCTGACACCAAAGCACGTGGTACAGTCTTTCTGCTCCATCATTATTTCTCACAGTTATACATGCTGTTTTAACTCTGGTCTGATCAGAAGGAGGGGAATATAGACATTCTCATTCAGTATATGTTGTTCTTTTTCATTTTTCTTTTTTGCTTTGAAGAATTATTTTTTTAATTGTTATTTTTTAATTTTCAATAACTACATGATTAGAAGAAGCATTTCATTCACTACAGATTTAACATATTCAGTAACACACTCCAGAGCAAGAGTAGATCTCTTTCACAAGCGGGTGCAAGTTTCTAGGTTGACAGTTGAGTTAATACAGTTATACAGTATTGAACTCAGTATAAGCCCTGTAAGACATAAAATTGAATGAGTTTTTTAACCTTTAAAAAAGATCTCCATTTCATTTTAGAATATATTGTTCCTTGCAGAAAGACTCACTGTTTTTGCTACTAACACTGAGATGTTGGTGCATGCATCTCTAATCTGTATGTATCTCATTATTACTAGTCATAATTGGTTGCACTTGGATCCTTGGCACCTGTGCTTGTCTATAAAGTCATTGGGTAGATTTCAGTGGTAATGTTTATCACCTCTACTAATCAGCATGATGTAAATTTCCATGTTTCCTCCTCTAATATAATACATTAAAAAAAATTTGTTGATTTGTGTGTGTGTGTGTGTGTGAGTGTCTCACACAGAACATCCCAAACCATCTCATTCAACTATACACCCACTTCCCAGATGGCACCCTCCCATAGCCTCCCTCCCCCCACTAGAGCCCTTATACTCTGATATCCCTGCTACTGTCTGCTGTGTTGTCGGCACCCCTAGCCATTCCCCACTACTTGCCCTTCTGGTAAATCTAGTTAGCCTATCTAGAGGTCTTTGTTTTAGGAGGGTCAGTATTCCTTTAGATAAGGTTGGGGTCTGCTGTTCATTTTCCCAGTTCTATGCTGCATTACTATCTCGGAGTCCCTTTGGCCACACTGGCCAACAACTCAAAAGAAGGTATCTCCTATCTGGCATTGTTGCTTGTTATGTAG